AAGTTGGATCTTCATTGATTATTGTCTGAATCAATATCACCGAATATATATAATTTATTAAAGCAAATGTGAAAATTTAATAACTTACCGCTACTAACAGGGTCAACATGAAGTGGTGAACTGACAGGATCAACATGAAGTGGTGACATGACTGGGGTACCCAGCCTTACAGCGCTCGTGTCAGCGTCAAAATTTTCATCCACGTCAGTGTCAGACGAATCACCCTGTGGAATAGCACTTTCAGATTCTCCCTCATCTTCGCTGTCCACATACTCCTCATCTTCATCGTCTTCATCCTCATCCATTGTTACCTGAGCAGGTGCAGATGATCGTACAATTGTATCTTCTTGAACAATACAGTGCGCAGTGGTTGTATGCACCGGTAACGATGAAGACTGACTAGCATCAACTTCAACATATATCTCAATCATTTTTAATACTTTCCATCCAACATACACATCTGTGACGAACTCCACATCTTCATCATCATTGATATCGTTACCAATGTAATATATTGTATCCATATCCACAACAGTCTCTAACCTGGCTATCATGCGGTGGATGGAATGGATGCCTTATGACCCTATTTTTTTTGGAGAATTCTCTCCTTTAGTTCATTGCATGTAGTGCCCACTTTGACTTTCATCGTTTTTGTTTTTCCTTCAAATCAGACACCGTTCGGACCTTCAAAATGCCTTCCATTGTAGTAGATAACTATAGGTACCATGATAGGACTTGAACTCATCTTTCACACGAAAATTTGGGTTTAGGTTTTGGGTTTGGATCTTGGTTCGGATTTTTTAACACAAAATGGAAATGTGGAGGTGTAATGCCAATGTCCTACCAAGATTAAGCTTTTTGAGATGATGAGATGAAATATATGTGTGATGTTTCAGAATAGAGACGTGAAGGGAAACTGATTTGGGGAAAAAAAACTTTACCTCGCAACAATGGCCGAAACCCTTGGTATTGGGTACCCTATTCGCGAAATCTACCCGGGTACCCCCTTACCTACCCGGGTAAATAATTCAAAAAATTTCCAGGTTGAAGAACAATACCCGGGTACCCCCATACATACCCGGGTATGGTTGATTTTTTTATCAAATACACGGGTATGGACTGGGGTACCCGGGTATGTTTCGTGGTCAACGGTCAAACAGGGGCAGATTGGTGTTATGTTTGTTTGGAGGGTTAATTTTTTGTAATAGTTTCTAATCGAGGGCAATTTGGTAAATAATTATTAATAAAGGGCTACAGTGGTCAAAAAGCCCTGCAATGTTGGTATGTCACTATTAAGGAATCACCATCTAGATGTCAAGATAAAGGGTTGGAATGGAGCGCATCTTTAGTATAGCTATAGCATGAAAACTGGGTGCGACTGTATACTATATACTATGTACTACTTATAGTACATAGTGTAAAGTATAAAAGTTATTTTTCTTTTCTTTTCAGGAAACGTGGCGCATTCGTATTCGACTGATGTATATACTCCTGTAGTATATTAGATTTTTCTTATTGGAATGAGTATGAGAACACATATTTTACATATAGGGCAGATTTAATGAAGAGCATTGAAGGTTTTATGATTCAATTAAGAACTTAATATAACAATGGTTTGATGTTATAAATTCTATTCCCCATTAATTAGAAAAGTTAGAACTGAGAGGGTAATCTAAAGACCTTGGGGCTGTTCTAAATGAATAAATTCAAATGTGGTAGGTGCATCTTGTATATAATTGGAATTTTGGGCAACTAAGTTCAATCTCTAGGTAATCAATTTTTTTTAAATTTTTTTTTTTGATATTGTAACGCCTTCTAGAGTTGATTGAATTGTTTTACATGCTATCTTATGCGTATGCAATGTGTGTGATGATTGCTTGTACCATATTAGTGTGAAATACTCTAGTTGACCCGCGGCGTCTTAATTATTATCTTCTCTCCGGTTCATTTTCCACTTATATTGTGACACGTGTCTTACTTTTATCAAATTAATAATAAATAATTTATTTTAAAATTAAGAGAGAGAATGATTTAATATAAAGTAAGACACGTGTCACAATATAAGTGGAAGATACACCAAGTTTTCGGTGCATCCGTAGTACCAAAGATATTATCCTTTTCTCCCAACTATTTGGGGTTGGGTTTCTCTCTTGAAAATCTGGTGGTTTGCAATTTTGATGAATGCCTTCTTATTTGGTTTATAGATAAGGATGCATAAACAGCTTTCTTCATGCTTAACAGTGTCAATTGATTGGAATCACAAAAGTCAGCCAAACATGTGGCCAGTGAAGTGCACTCACGAGTCATTCATATTTGTAGGTCCATTAATTAGCTCTCTCCTAAGACCCTAAACCAACCAAAAAGGTTTTATCAAGTTTTAAAAGTTAACTTGTGTTTTTTGTTCTTTAGAAGACAGGTAGCACTATTTGCCTTTCATTATTGGGGCTTAAAAGTTTTACTTTTAACAGTACTCGTCTTGGCTGAAATCAAATGGATAGGAGCCTCTCTTCTTTACTCGAATGCTTATTTTAATTTCCAAAAAACATTTAAATTGAAACTTAATCTGATGACGGAGTTTTATCAGCTAAATCCAAACATATTTCTAGGTTAACTCATTCCTTAAACTGTTTATGGTGCAATCCATGAAAATTGGAAATCAATCCTCTGAAACGAGATCATGTAACATAATTTTAAACATTGATAGACAAATCAGTGATTATGTAAAGGATAGATAATGAGAAGAAAATGACCATTGATATATATATGGATGGTTAACATGACTTCACATATCATATGAGAGCATCATTCTTTGGATAGTTCCCTTGTAAAAAATAAAAGGATAAAAATGGGAATGAAGGAAAAGTAGTAAGGATAAAAAGAAAAAGTAAAAAATGAATTTGTGAGAGAGACCACCAAACTCTTTGGTAGTCCCAGTTTATTTGATTCGCGTGCCTCATGATTAGGAGCATATATGTAGTGGTCCAGGATCATTGGTCTACCATAAAGAGAAAGGGGAGGAGAGAGGAGAGAGAGAGGGACCAGGAAATTTATTTTCCATGATTAGACGCTGATCCTTTTCTCTCTCTTCTTTCTATCTGATTTGCTCCAATCCACTGTATATTTGCTCATCTTCATACCCAATATATTTCATTTTTTCAGCACCAGCCAATAAATTTTGTAGCATGCACTGGCTTGTATGGATTGGAGGTCCACATCTTGGGTACGATCTTGCTCAACCTCTCATGCCTTTCTTTCATGCAATTGCAAATTGGTGTCAATCCGGATATAGTTGGAAGTTGCAACAGAAGTTAAGACTTCTCAAAAGAGTAGCAACCAGCAACACCAAGGAATGACAATTTATTACAAGACCCGCTAATAAGACATAAATATAATATGAGATTATGACACATACAATATGCAATTTTTGCGTTCAGATTAATCTGCATTCATCTTCATATCGTATTTGCGTGGGCAAAAAATCTCGAGTTCCTGTCAACTGCAAACACAACATTAACCAACCTTTTTGTGAGCAATTATGGTTATGACCAACGGACTATTCATATCATGTCATTGTTTGATTATTACTGTTAATTGATGAACATAACATTCAGGACATGTGTATTGCGACAACCCACACATAACCAACCGACACAACTTGTCAACCTTAGCAAAATACTTTTGTGAGCATTTTTTTGAATTTTTTTTAAAAAAAATACTTTTAAGACTTTTTGACTATTTTTTCCTTTTATCAAACAATTATATATATATATATATATATATATATATATATATATATATGGATCCATCTAGTGTTCAGTTGGATATAAGATTTTGTCCTGTCACCGCATTATTAACTATATACTCCGAAAAATACATAGTTATAATATTAAAGTTGTACTTTTTTTCACTTCACACTTCAGCAGACAAATTTCTAATCCCCGAAATACAAGTTATAATACGGTGAATGGACACCTAATTTTCCCATATACATATATAGGGGTAGAATTCTTTGATACTGATATCAAACTTTAAAATTTGACACCAAATCTTAACAGTTGATTTTCACCAATCAACAACTAAATACAGTTATAATACGATGAATGGACACCTAATTTTCCCATATACATATATAGGGGTAGAATTCTTTGATACTGATATCAAACTTTAAAATTTGACACCAAATCTTAACTGTTGATTTTCACCAATCAACAACTATCATTTCCTCAAATCAAACTTATTAATTAATCATTCATTCCCAATACATGATAACCGTTAATTGACGAAAATCAATGGTTGGAATTTGATATCAAATTTCAATGTTTGACACCAGTGTCAAAGGATTCTATCTCATATATATATATATATATATATATATATATATATATATATATATAGGTATGATCTTTTGACACCAGTGTCAAATTTCAAATTTGACACCTTATCTGAGAGTCATTAGATCAAAAAAGATCAACGACTCTGATTTGTAAGCATGTGACACAATTAATTTTTTTATCTAATTGCTCTCAGACGAGGTGTCAAATTTAAAATTTGACACTAATGTCAAAGGATCATACCTCATGTATATATATATATATATATATATATAGAATAAACTAATTTAAACATCCAACTAATCAACAAACTCTAGCTACAACTACTAGAATGAGACATTCTTGCTGTGTATGTCTGTCCCTCTCCCCCTTACCCAATTTCTGTCTCACGAGTAGAGACCGTGACAGATTAAATGATGCAAAGAAAGGTGATGTGCATTGCAATATAAAACTACTAATAATTGTAAGCATACTATGTAATTAGTAACAGTCTTTCTCAGCATTTAATTTATGGAATGCTGATTCATCTGTAATTTTTTTTTTTCTGTAGAACAAGCTATTATCAGAGTGTTCAACAAAAAAAAGTTTATATTAATTATCATTAGCCAATTTCTATTCTGAAAGAGAAACCAAATTAATGGTTAAAAGCATCAATGATCTATGCGCAGAATGATCTTACTAAGGGGAAGTTTAAACATGATTCCCTAAGTATTCACATAGGTCCAAAATTGTGTACATGCTCCAATGTGAACATGTCACATTGAAAAGAAAAAAATTACACTCGCCCTTTCTCCACAATGGGCTTGAGAAAAATGATAAAACACGAAAAAAAAATTTCTTGCACAAAAAGATGGGTCACCATTGAAATCTATTTCTCCATACAGTTGTCTAAATGCTTGTAATACCTAACCACCTATTCACCTGCCCTAAGACAACACCTTAGTAACCAAGCATAGCACTCCACAACTTTTCCCAACAAAGTTGAGTTTAGTTTTGATTCAAATCTCAATGGATTGCTTAATTCTTCACTCAGGTCTTCACTAGTAAAAACAAAAGTCCCCTGTATCAAAGGAAATATAAGTTAATGATTGATTCATCAAATAACAACATTCTAAAATAGAAAATTGTTGAATAAGAATAAGCAACTGAAGTCAGATTGTACATGATATCTACGAGCACACCTATCTTACGTTGAAGGACTAATGCAAGATAACTTGATCATTATGTATTACCTACCAGAACTATCTTTATTCTTTTATTTTTGAATAAATACCCTTTTTGGTCCTCAGCAAATTTTACGATGCCCGCTTTAGTCCGTAGCAAATAAAAAGGCTCATCGTGGTCCCTAAGAAATTCAAAATGGACCCATTTTAGTCCTTTTAGGGACTAATATGGGTCTTTTTTGAATTTGTGAGGGATTACAATTTTAACTAAATGGGTTCATTTTGAATTTCTTAGGGACCACAATGAGCCTTTTTATTTGCTAGGGACTAAAACGGGCATCGTGAAATTTGCTGAGGACCAAAAAGGGTATTTACTCTTTATTTTTTAAGTAAAATTTACTAAACAATCTAATAACAATAGCATGCTGTGGAAAATCGATTCTACTCATGAAAGATGATACCACCTATGTTGAAAGGTTAAAGATCATAAATAAAGCATATCAAAGTATCAAACAAATGCAGGCTGCAATCAGAATGGGGAAAAACAGAACACAGCAATAAATAAATTAAAAACACTAAAATCTAACACAAAGCCATTCTTTTAGCTATACCACGGATGATCAATGGCTTGATAAAAGCTAAGGCTAGCTTAAATTTGAAGAAGTTCGATAATACCAAGATTGATTATCATACAGGGTTTGATTATATAATTGAGGAGAGCTTGAATACAAAGAGTTCAAGATCAATGGGCTTGGCTCAAGTTTGATTAATTAATATTAATATTTTTCATATTTCATAAAAAGGTAAACCCCAAAATTCCTTTGAACATTAATTTGGTCCTTGAAATATTAGCAACATCAAATTGATCCTCAGATGATAAATTTAGGTCATTGCATGACATGTCCTAGTAAACAGTAACTTTTAGAGTATTTAGATGTCAAAAAAGTATCAGTCGAGGACTAAAGTGGGTATAACAATTTTCACAACATAATTTAGTATTTCAAAATGAGGTGGGATATACTTACAGGCTTTTTGACCCTTATTAAATAATTAATAACCATTTTACCCCTTATCCAAAACTATTCACCAACCTGCCTCTCTTTAATCGATTAACTTCAATATTTAATTGATTAAACGGTCAAAACACGCAAAAAAGGTTGACCTGTGATTTAATCGATTAAATCTCCTTCTTAATCGATTAAATCACGCCATAAAGAATTTGAAAATCAGATTGAAACAAAGTTTGTAGGTAAAGTTGGTTCGGGAAGTTATGAATCAGATGTTGGAGGCATGGAAGCAGATTCCTGATGTTTCAGATGAATTCTCTCCACCTTGATATAGAATAGGTGGTTGAAAGAAAATTCAAATACCCAACTGATTCTGGACCTCAAGGATGGTGGTGGCTAGGGGTGAAACTGGGTCGGGCTGGCCTACAGGGGCCTACGGCTCGGCCTACGTTAGGCCAGACCTAACCTAGTATATTTCGTAAAATAGGCCGAGTTTGGACCTTGAAAAAGCTTGTTTTTAATAAAAAGGTCGTAGGCTCACTTTCACAAGGCCTGGCCTATAAGCCTACAGGCCGGCCTATATTGTACTATTTACTTTAAATAAAATAAAATATAATAAGTATGCCTTGAAGAAAAAAACAAAAGATATAAATTTAATCAATTGCAATCATTTATAACTTAATTATATTCGATTATATTTTAATAGAAATCTGATTTTATTTCTTATGTAGGAGGAACCAATATTTCAGTATGTTAGATTGTGTATATGAATATATTAAAAGATTTTCGGGAGAGGTTATACTTACTACAAGCATCATGATGTATTTGTTGGATTCATGTAGTTATTTTAATTTACACAGTATGGATTTGTTATTTGGATCTTATGAAATATATGTTATTTAATTTGAGCATTTTGCTTTTGAAAGTGACTTAAATGCAGATTGTATGAGTTTTGTTGTGATTCATGATTCTGTTTGGACTTTGAAATTATGATTTTTGGTTTAGTAACAAAATTTGAGTATTTTGTAAAGTTAATTCATGGTTATGCTTGGAAGTTAAAAATTAACAGGCTAACGAGCTAGGCCAGGCCATTTGTTTTTTATAAACGGGCCAAGCCAGGTTAACAGTTAGACTCATACTAGGTTTGGGCCAGGCCAAATTAAGAATTTTTGACGTAGGCTTGGGCTTTTCGGGGCAAAGCTTGGCCCAGCCCAGCCCACTTTCACCCCTAGTGGTGGCGGAGTCCCTGAGCCTTTGCGCTTCCTCTTCTATCAAGTGCACATTGGTTACACCCAAAACCCCTCCTCTTCCAAGCTGTGCTGGCAAGCTAAGGAACACTTCTCCACCATCGATCTCATAAAGACCCTTTGCGAGTACCGAGACAGGGTGGATCTTCCTTTGGTCCCTTAGAATGGTTCGTGCCAAGCTTGCCACGGAGTATCCTATCGCCCAAGAAGTGTACCCTTTCAAATTTATCACTTCATAAGCACTCTCTATAACCTCTTTGTGTATGTTCTCCAGCATTTCTTTCTCATACACAATTTGCTGTTTCTCCAGAAAACATCAGGAATCTACTTCCATGCCTCCAACATCTGATTCATAACTTCCCGAACCAATTTTACCTACAAACTTTGTTTTAATCTGATTTTCAGATTCTTTCTGGCGTGATTTAATCGATTAAGAGGGGGATTTAATCGATTAAATCACGGGTCAACTTTTTTTGCGTGTTTTGACTGTTTAATCGATTAAATATTGAAGTTAATCGATTAAAGAGGGACAGGTTGGTGAATAGTTTTGGATAAGGGGAAAAATTGTTATTAATTATTTAATAAGGGGCAAAAGGGTCAAAAAACCTACACTTACAACCTAAAAGTTTTACAACCTCTTACCACCAAATCTTAACTATTGATTTCCATCAATTTAACGGTTATAATTTTTGGATCACACTTATTAATTAATTATTAATTCCCAATAAATTATAACCGTTAGATTGGCGGAAATCGACGGCTAAGATTTGGTGGTAAGAGGCTGTAAGACTTTTAGGTTGTAAGTATATGCTCCCTCTTTCAAAATTATAAAAACGAAAAAAGGTTAAATCACTCCGTAGGTCTCTGTAGTTTCACTAAATTTTTATATAGGTCCCTACTCCCTATAATTTAAAAGTTTGTCATTGTGACCATATACATCCAAAAAATTTCAATTAAGTCCCTGCCTACTATCACCGTTAAGTTTTGCTAAACTATAAACATATTTGAAACTCAAAAACACTATAGGGACCTATTTGACAAACACCACAACTAAATAAGTCCCTATAGTTTATCTAAATTTTTAAATAGGTCTTTATAGTTTAGCAAAGGCTAATGGCTGTTGGTAAGAATCAGCAATCTCACATGCATTATGATTAGGATATAAGTTGTAGAGTGATTTAGTAGTGCTTACTATAGAAATTGACTTTGCAGGCTGGCATCATAGCTCAGTGGGTTGACTAACTATCATCTATAGAATCTGACACCTTCAATGGCTTAGGTCTTCTATACCACAATATTGCAAACCATAGAGTCCTCAACAGAACCCCATTTGTAAAGTGAGGAATTATTATACGTCCCCAATAAGGGTAATATGGACCCGGCAATTTGATCAATGTGAAGAAAATTGCAAGGGCAATTAAATGCCATGGAACTTCTGCATCCTGAAAACAAGACCAAGCATAAGATACAGTAAAGGGGAAAAGCAAACAAGACATATGCTATGGTACAGTAAAGGGGATAAGGCCAGGGGGAGCATCAGATTGAGTTTCTCTTATCTTTTCCAAAATTATAACCAATAAAAATGATCTCAAAATATATAGCAACACCAGCATAAGTCCCTAATAGACCTGCCCCTGTAAAATGAGGCAAGCATGTAGTTGTCAAAATATATCATCAAATTCAACCTGAACTCTTAATGCAAGCCAGAATCCCAGATGCCTAAATTCGAATTTGGAAATACAGGATATGGGCACAAAAAGATCAATGGAAGTCATCAATCATCATGTTGTTAATCATCATCAAATATCTGCAATGTAAATTCATCAAGTGGAATGGCTAATGAGGTCAACTACTTCAAAAGAAACATGCTCCACTGTTAGCAACTCAAGATATGGAGGCAATATGGCAGTTCAAATCTTTTACAAAATGAATAAAAAAATGAAAGAATCAACAGAGCTCAAGCATCACAACTGTTTCTTTCTGAATGTGGGAAACTATTTTATCGAAGAAACAACAGCTTAATGCTATATCCAACAATTCTCTCTGATATCCAGATTATAAATGATGCATAACCAATAATGATTTTACCTTTAAACGTGGAGATAACTCCAAGGCAGTCTCTTTAAGGATCCCAGCAACGGCAAATCCAAAGAGGACCGGAAGAGGAACAAGAACTAGCTTCTTCTCACGCGCACAGTAGGATAACTCACTGATGGAGGTAACTGCAAATACAGGTACATATAGGTATTTGACAACAGCCAAAATAAGATCAAGAGTAAGTTGAATGAAGTTGTCCAATGCTTGTTGCCACGGGAAATTCTTCACTGGCTGAGGAGAACTGTCCCAAAGCTTTCTTGCTTTGTCTATATATTTGTCAAGTTTAATTTTCCCATTATCATCTGATTGCTGTGCAGACATATTCATGGAACAGAAGATATTGGGCCTTGTCTTCTGAGATGCACAAAATGGTTTAACACTTAAATAGCAACAGTGTTTCTCAGCAAAACATGATGTACCCTGCCACATCAAAGAGAGGAGTTTTCAAACTGATGAAGCCAATCATCAGAACTAAATTGGTTGCTGTAATCTACACAGGAAAACCCTTTTTGAATGGGAATGTAAAAGTAGCCAACATTCAGATACTATGAAACAAATGATAACTGGCAATTTTCAGATTGAGTAATGCTATATACACAAACACATATTTCCTCAACCCCACCAACCAAAAACCACTTCCATGTCTGGTTTATATTATTCAGTAAAGAACCACTTCAACCCAAAACCTTAAGATATTGAGTGAGGACCTTTTTAATGGTTTATATTATTCTTTAACACACACCCTCACGTGAGAGCTTTTTGAATTTGAAATATGGATATTGCATAGGCCCAATTTTTTTTTTTTTGGAATTTTATCTCATGCTTATTTAATTCCACAAGTAGAGGCGCTGTCGAACTCGTGACCTTTTAGTCACTGAAACTCTGATTTCATATAAAGAATCACTACAAACCCAAAACCTTGAGTAATGCTGTATACACAAACACATATTTCCTCAACCCCACCAACCAAAAAAAGAAAACGAAAAAAATGCTTTTGGCTTTTAAATATCCTTAACTATCATTTTCGTTTCAGACTAATGGGAAAGAAAAGAAAACAAAAATAGTGCATACTATAAGAAACCAACAATACTGTCAAAGAAAAATTTGAATACCTTGAATCCGAGAAAGGGAGGTTGGATTGTGATGGAGTTGTTGTTGTTGTTGTTGTTGTTGAGGGTTAAAGGTGGGAAATGAGCGTAAGAAGTAGCAGAAACGAGGTAAGAGGGATAGGGAAGAGACATTTTTGTGAAGTTGAAAGATGAAAACTTGAAACCAAAATCAAATACCCTTTTGGACAAGGATTGCAAATTTGCAATTCAACAAGAAATAGGTTCCGCAGAGGTCGTACGGTGCCAACTATTCATATAGTATGACGAAGGTAACACAAGGGGAGTGAGGATATGGAGGTAAATGTAATCACGCTTGCGTTAGGTCTGTTACCGTAAAAAAGAAAAAACACACGTTTATATTAAAAAAAATAAAATTATGACTATGTTTGATTAGTGTTTTTAAAAATAATTTTTTAGTTTTCAGAAAAAAAAAAAAAAAAAAACTCGTTTGATAAGACTTGTTTTGTAAAAAAAATTTAAAAACTGTAACTATTTTTTTGTTTTTAGAATCAAATTTAGAGAACATATCTGAGTTGTTTTTGTTTTCTGTTTTGGTTTTTGACTTTCAAAACAAAAAAACTCAGAAAACAACTGTTTCCATAATTATTCTAAAAAACAGTTTTAAGGACAAAAAAATCAAAACACAATCAAACAGACTATATTTGCAATTTTTTTTTTTATAAATTATACTATATATTAGGAGTAGTACATTATAACATATAAATATTACTTCTAATATGAAGTGTAGTTTGTAAATATAATTCATTCCCACTTTTATATGAATTAAACATGTGTAAGTTCTACTTTAAATTTTAATTTTTAATTCAATTATATTTTACCATTTATGTAATTATTAAATTAAAGTTATGAGTAAACACTCTTTTTGGTCCCTGGCAATATCTACGAAATCTTTTTTAGTCCCTGACAATAAAAAAGAACCAAATTGGTCCCCAACAGTATGTAAAAAGGGCCACATTAGTGACAGAGGAGTTGACGTAAGGACTAATGTGCCCCTTTTTTCATAATTTTAGGGGCCAATTTGGTCCTTTTTTATTGCCAGGGACTAAAAAAGATTTCGTAGATATTGCCAGGGACCAAAAAGGATGTTTACTCTAAAGTTATTAAATATAAATAGATTAATAATTAGCACTTGATATAACGGGCATGTTTGGGCTGAATCTTATTAGTTTACCAAAAATAAAAAGAAGGGCATGTTTGAAATTTGTTTTAAAAGTAGGTTTTGATTATCATAACAAAAAAATAAAAAAAATTCGTTTGATAAGGTCTATTTTATAAAAATAATTTTAAAAATTATAATTATTTTTTGGTTTTTAGAATCAAATTCAAAAAATATATCTAACTTATTTTTATTTTGTGTTTTGATTTTTAACTTTCAAAATACAAAAAAAAATACAAAAAAAATTTGTTTCATTAACTATTTTACAAAATAGTTTTAAGAATAAAAAGAAAAAACACAATGACCCAAAATTCATTATTCTTACAATGACAATGACGTAAGTGAATTATGTGTCTAATAAATGTTTACTATCTTCAAATTTTTGAATTTTTTTCATAATATTAAAAGTTAATAAAATGGTTGATTACCTCACTTGGTCAGGATATCAGTGTATGAATTATGGGTAATAACGTCTCCTGTTATAGAAGTTATCTCGTAGATACATTTTATTTGTGGGGCTTGTGATTAAAAAAAAGAAGGAGAAAAACACATTTTTCAATATGCCAGCATAAGAAAAATAGTCTCTCTTGTGAAAAGAGAGACATATTACCCATAAATTATAATCATTGTAAAGAAGAAAAATGAAATATTCCCATTACATCACTAATTTTTACCTTGTTTTTTTTTAAACAAAATACATATTGTTTTAACTTTGTCTTTTAACAAACGACAAGCGTCCACTAATTAGACTCATTTTTTTTTCTTCTTAAATTTATCTTCCATTCATCGATTACTTAAATAATTCAATTTAAGTCAAACAAGATCACAAGAACGAAAATTACTAGACTAATTCAATTTAAGTCAAACAAAATCACAAAAATAATGAAACTCTCCTATTAAATTTAAACAGCAAAATTCTCCCTACCACATCATAATACAATTGCATACTCAACACTCAAAACTCGAAATAACTATTTAATTTAAAAATTCTTGGTAATTAAACACACTTCAAATTATTTTGTCTGAGTGTTACTGTTCAGGGTGAACTTACATTCAAATTTCAAATCTAGTGAAAATTATCCTATTATACAATAAAAATTAAAAATAATTACTTTTTCATCACCACTAAATTATTTTCATGGCTGAGTAAAGTTATTTTTATCATTTAAATTAATAACGATTTCCACTAAACAAAAAAGAAAAAGAAAGAAAGAAAGAAAAAGAATGGAGATTTCACAGTCCGCTAAATTATTGATATTCCAAAATTCCAAAACCCATCCTTAAAAGACTATATGCTACTACCACCTTCAATGACTTATTCCAACATTTGAAACCAAGAAAAAGAAAAAGAAAACACTCAGGGAGAAATTAGGCCATAATATCCCTGCGGTACCAAATTCCCTTCTAAATTGTAGAAGAAATTCAAAATGCAATCTCGGTGATGAAAACACATTATTTGAAAATATTTCCATTAGTCCACCAAGTATTACGGAACTATGACTGTAATGTTGGAGCTCTATCCAAGAAATTGATTCTGCACCACCATTAACTGCATAAGTCAATAGAAAGAAGCAAAGATGAAAAGAGTCCATTTATAAGTTTACACGTAAGAATGGATGCCAAAGAATAATAGGCTTAAGAAAATCTCTGGCTTACTCTTGTTGGATAAGATAACTCTACTCTAAGGAAATAGAGGCAGGTAATGAAGCCCCAAATTTTCTGGAAATCCCATTATCAAATTAAGGTTTTGCAAAGCTTGACCTGAAGCTCCCTTCACTAAATTATCAATCTGCAACAACACATCAACAGACTTAGAGCCAAGGCAACGTTAACATCATGATGTTATTAATTACACAAACATTTCACCTAAAAAACTAAAGATATACATACTATATAGGAGAAGAGAACTAGAACATACTACAGATATAATGATTGCTCTTCCAGGAATTCGGTCAGGAAAAACATTGATTAGACAGTAATTAGTTCCTTTAACGCTATGAGTTCGAGGAATGACTCCATTTTCCAATACTACAACAAATTCTTCATCCTGAAATCACCAGAGAGAAGAGAAGAGAAGAGAAGAGAAGGTAAGAAAGAGACAGACATAGAAATTCAAACATGAACCGGAAAACAGACTAATAAAGCAAGAAATCATGCATTCAGATAAAGTTATGCACATTCCAGGGCTCCATGAAACCAGACAGGATAAGGCCTTGAAGGTGAAAGAGACATCTGAGATCTCAAATATACGATAGCAAACATTTCAAAGATGAGATTTTTTGCCTTAACAATGAAGAACAATCATTAAGTACCAATATCAAATCTGCATTCTTTACAGGTCTGCATATATGCAATTCATACTTCATCTTTTTCTAAACTAGTGGTAATGGCATCTTTATGTGATGAGGTGACTAATGACATAAAAGGATGAACCTCATAAGAGAGCTTCAGTTGCTGGTACAAGTCCTCAATTCTGACTCCTGGAGCCATTTCCACATAAATAGTTGATTGCATACCACGGCTCTAATAAATGGCAAAGAGAAACATTTGTTGGTTTACTTGATAAGCAAGAAAAGATTACAGAAAACAGAACTCTAGATGCTACTCTTACCATTGGAATCAGATGTGGGGTAAAACTAACGGTTACTTTTGAACGTGCAGCATCAGTGAGTCCCTGTTCAATTTCTGGAACTGGAAACCACAAAATAGAATAATTTTATCTATTCAAATACAGATGCCATTTGTCCTCAATAACTAAAATCACTAGCCATATATGACAGCTAAGGCAAGAGCTTAGTGGTAAAAGGTTCAATCTAATGCTGTTCACATGGGAAGTGGTCATCAGTTTAAGTTCATTCCAATGAAGAGGAAGCATAACACTTTATATTTCAAGGAAAAGTTAAGGCTAAACTTTCATCAAGGAGCCCCAGCAGGTCCAATTAGCTAACCCCCAACCCTCATCCTTTTTTCTAAAGGAGGAGAACCAGGCTAGTTTGCAATACTCGAAAGGCATGCATCCAATTGTAACGAGCAAATTGAACTTACCATGGCGATGCCGGGTAACACCATATGAATTGATACCTTCAACTACTTCAGTGAACAATAAATTTTCTTTGGCACTTCTCCCTGCAACAAAAACCAAGTAGTAGAACCACATAGGAATGAGAAGCTAGTGGTGGGAATGTTTTGTTATATACTTGTAATAAAATACGAGAGATTCATCAAAATTCTAACCTGCTCCACTCACACCAGATTTAGCATCAATAATAATATTTCTAATCTCAATAAGATTAGCCTGCAAGACAAAGAAAACTCAACACTTTAAACCAAAGGGGATATGAAACACTTCAAGAATCATAAAATCAATGAATACAGAAAAATCAGTTTTTAAAATAGGAAGCATAAAGCTAAGCCTGAGTCCTAGACAATGCTTCCATCCCTGAAAACAACCCTGATTCAGCATCTTAAGTACTTCAGTCAAGGTAGACAAACTTGATATAAAAGTTTAGTACAGATGAACATCCAAAAGCAGAACTCATATACTATCTAGAATTCTGGATATTCTCCACCAATCCTCTAGATAGCTGTATAAGCATAAGCAGCAACATCTCGCTATTGCCATTTCAGGCCTTTTAATGCTAATTATATGGATGACAACAATCTTCGATCCTCAATCCTCACTTCTCTCTTTTCTGATTTGAACGCTCAATTGTTCATGTCATCAAACGAATGCAAAAATGCATAGTTTTTTTAGGAGAGCTGTCCAGTCTCTTTGCATATCCGAAATACTGATTCCCTTAAACAAGCCATGAGCTGAACACCAAAGAGAAACCATGAAAACAATTCTATGCCTTAACCCTTGAAGATTCAAGCATTCCTTTCGAGCCACAAAAATCACAAATTCCATAAACAACACATTCCACAAGATTCTATTTTCCTTCTAGTTCTTATCAAATCCTTGAAAACTCAAATGTGCAGAGACTGATCCAATGAACAAGGACAAACCCAATACTCACCAAAAATATCAAAATGTTTGTCCCAAAGGAATTGCACAGCTGGGTATGGAGAAATAGACGAGGCAGTTTCAGACTCAGATCCAAATATGCATAGATTTAGTTGACCCTTGAACTAAAAAGATGAAAAAGTGTACAACTAATCAAAGGATATAATTTATAGGATATTTAAATCACAATTTCGATTATAGGATCATACGATGCTGTGATCCTACCACGCCCAAAGAATCCAATTAGAGCCTAATGTCTACATCATTAATCCATGAACTGATTCCACCCCTATATCTCAATCCTCTTTCCGAGGTAGTCAGCTTCCTGTGCAGTGTTTCATTCCTTCAACTAATTTTGGCAGGAGACATGGGTTTAAATTGAATTTGAATGATTGTCTACTTATTTGCATGTTAATTTAAAACATTTCATTTTTGTGCAATTCATGCAATGGCTCACATTGTACAGAAGCCCTCTCATTAATGGAGGAGCATAGTTCAACTGCCTCCTCCGTCGGCTGGCAATGTCTTAGTCCCTAAGATCAAAAAAAGAACTATAATTTTGTGTTAGTCATTTCAATTTGAAGACTGATACCCTTCTAAACTTAGAAACTTTGTTGTTATGTGGAACACTGTATTAAGTATCGATTTGCACATTGGTTTTTTCTCAAAAGTTTTTTATTATATTAAATTTTTCATTAAGAAAAATAATTCCTTAGTAATGTTATTGTCTCAAGTAGATGTCATATTGTGCTTATTTTGTTTTATTACTCATTTTTCCCACTATATAGTGAAAATTATCTGTCATGATTACTTTACTCATCAGATTTTATAATCCTTCATCCGATCTGTAAACCCCTCATCCATCCTAAGTAGGATCTCAATTTTAATATAATAAACTTGCAACCCATGCAATGGAAACAACCTCAGCACAGACCAAGATAACAAGACCTTCCAATCTCTCTGGCTATGAAAAAGAGGCATCCCCTTAAACAAGCAATGTATTAAACTCTAAAGTCAAGCTATGACTTGATCTCTGATTGATTACCTCAGTCCATAAACCACAGCACATATGCATAAATCTCTGCCCTTTTTCTTGCTAAACCCTTTCCAAGCCTATTGAAAAGAAGTTTCTGTATATTGATTTTGAATAATTTACATGAGTGAGTATTTATACAAGAAAGAATCGCTAAGAATGACAAAGCGATGACTAAGCGATGACTAATCAATCCTAATCACAATCAATTCTAATCAATCATAATCAATCCTAATTAATAGGAAATAAAAACGGAAACATGTTTGGATTCTGATTTTCTATACTCCCCCTCAAGTTGGGAGGTAAATATTGATCATTCCCAACTTGCCAATCAAGTCTTCGAATGCTGGACGGTGTAGGCCCTTGGTAAGGATATCTGCCGTTTGCTCTTTGGTTGGAACATATATCAAACGCACACTTCCATCATCTAATTTTTCTTTGATGAAGTGACGATCAACTTCCACGTGCTTTGTTCGATCATGATGCACAGGATTTTGAGCAATGCTAACAGCTGCCTTGTTGTCACAATATAGTTTTATTGGTAGGGAATATGAAATCTTCAACTCTTGAAGAAGTCTTCTCAACCAGATTCCTTCACAAACTCCATGAGATAACGCTCGAAATTCTGCTTCAGCACTACTTCTAGCAACCACTGTTTGCTTTTTGCTTCTCCAAGTAACAAGATTTCCCCACACATAGGTGCAATAGCCTGATGTAGATCTCCTGTCTACTGATGAGCCTGCCCAATCTGCATCAGTGTAGATTTCAATTGTCCTTTTATACCCCTTTTTAAAGAATAATCCTCTTCCTGGAGTATTCTTGAGGTATCTAAGCACCCTATAGACTGCACTAAGATGCTTCTCCTTGGGTGAGTGCATGAATTGACTAATCATACTCACTGCAAAGGCAATGTCAGGACGCGTATGAGATAAGTAGATTAGTTTACCAACCAATCGCTGATATTGTTCTTTATCCACCTCATTCCCATCTTCAATACCTAACTTGGTATTAGGTTCCACAGGTGTCTCAGCAGGTTTACACCCTAACATTCCTGTTTCCAACAAAAGATCTAGAACATATTTTTTTTGTGTTAGAGTGATGCCTGTTTTGCTCCTAGCAACTTCCAAACCAAGGAAATATTTGAGAGTGCCAAGGTCTTTGAGTTCAAATTGAGCTGCTAGAAATTTCTTCAAGGTGTTCAATTCCTCAATATCATCACCTGTAAGAATTATATCATCTACGTATACAATAAGAACAGCAATTTTACCATCCTTAGAGTGTTTGTGGAAGAGAGTATGATCAGTCTGTGCTTGAATGAAGCCTCTTCTTTTGACTGCTTGTGTGAATTTGTCGAACCATTCTCTGGGAGACTGTTTCAATCCATATAGAGACTTTTTTAGTTTACACACTGATCCATTTCCCTTTTCAAAACCAGGTGGAGGATCCATATAGACTTCTTCATGTAAGTCACCATTTAGGAATGCATTCTTCACATCTAACTGTTGCAGAGGCCAATCTAGATTGGCAGCAAGAGATAAGAGAACTCGGATGGTATTGACTTTAGCAACCGGAGCAAAAGTCTCATGATAATCTATCCCATGAGTCTGAGTGAAACCCTTTGCAACCAATCTTGCCTTGTATCTGTTGATGCTATTATCTGCATTGAATTTTATTGTAAACACCCATTTGCATCCTACTGCCTGTTTTCCTTTGGGTAAGGTCACTATCTCCCAAGTTCCATTTCTTTTTAAAGCATTCATTTCTTCAAAGACAGCATCCCTCCATTTTGATCATTGAGAGCCTCATGTATATTTCTCGGTATCTTTGTACTATCCAACATAGTATTGAAAGCACGAAACCCTGGGGACAACTTTCCATATGAAATATGATTAGAAATAGGATGAGTAGTACAAGATCGAGTACCTTTTCTGAGAGCAATGGGCAAGTGTAGATCATTTTCACCATGACACTCAAGTATTGGGGTGTTGGAACTAGAACATGGTTCAGAATCCTGGCAGTGTAGAGGCTCTGGGTTATTCACACTTTGAGGAGGCTTTCGCCTGCTATAAACTTGTCCCCATTTTAAGGAGGCTCCTGATGGTGAGGATTCTGTAGCTCCCCCTGTTTCCAAAATTAGAGGTAATACCGTGGCACCAGTAGGTTCCCATGACTGATCTTCATCTACTCCTATCTCCCCCTGAAGAGAAGTCGAGGGGAAGAAAGGGTCATTTTCAGAAAAAGTGACATCCATAGAGACAAAGACCTTACGAAGAGAGGGTGAATAACATTTATAGCCACGTTGAGTAGGAGAATAACCAATAAAGACACACTGGAGAGACTTAGGATCAAGCTTAGACCGTTGATGGGAGGGAATATGGACAAATGCAACGCAACCAAATAACTTGAGAGGTAAGGAGGAGACACCTCGGAAGGAAGGCAAGATACGAACAAGACTAGAAAGAGGAGACTGAAATTTCAGAATGCGAGATGGCATTCGATTTATCAGATACGAGGCAGTGAGAACTGCCTCTCCCCAAAGATATTTAGGAACACTCGTGGTAAACATAAGAGCCCGAGCAACTTCAAGGAGATGTCGGTTTTTTCTTTCCGCAACTCCGTTTTGTTGGGGTGTGTCAGGACACGAGCTTTGGTGAAGGATGCCATGTTGGGAAAGATATTCTCCAAGAATAGAGTTAAAATACTCTTTGCCATTATCTGTACGAAGAATTAGTATAGCAACTTGGAATTGGGTTTGAACCATGGCATGAAATTTTTTAAACACGGATGCAGCATCGGACTTATCCTTTAGAAGATACACCCAACAGACTCGAGAATGGTCATCAATGAAGGTAATGAACCATCGAGTACCTGAAATATTTTTAACACGGGCTGGACCCCATATGTCACTATGAATTAAGGAAAATGGGGAAGAGTCATGGTGAACTTTAGAAGGATAATGAGCACGAGTATGCTTGGCAAGTTGACAAATATCACAAGAAAACAAACTTGGACTTTTATGAATAAATAAGTTTGGCAACAACTTCTGAAGATAAATAAAATTTGGATGGCCTAGCCTACGATGCCACATCATAACATCATTACATGAATCAAAAGGAAACATAGAGTTTTTTTCTACGAAAACAGCTTCATGAGTCACATCCTCCTCAAAGTAGTAAAGTCCACCATCCTCTCTAGCACTGCCAATCATCCTCTCCGAGTCCTGTTCCTGAAAACACAACCATGTGGAAAGAATTTAACAAAGCAATGCAACTCAGAGGTGAGCTTGCTAATAGAAATGAGATTACAAGTCAGAGAAGGAACATAAAGAACTGATGTCAAAGTAATCAGCTCAGAAAGTTTAATGGTTCCGTGTCCCGCAATCTGGAAAAAACTGCCATCGGCGATCTTGACCCGAGAAGGTTCAGAATATGGAGTTTATGAACAAAACAAGCCAAGATTACCTGTCATATGATCAGAGGCTCCAGAATCAAGGATCCAATGATTTTGACTATCAACATGGAAAGTTGTACCTTGCTGGACCACATGACTAGTGGCCTTAGGAGGTTGAGTCAAAAGTCTCTGAAGTTGTTCAAACTTAGTCTTGCTAAGAAAGACACCATCAGAGTAAGAGGAAGAGTGTTTTGAGGAAGCCATGAATAGAAAGAGAAGGGTTGACCGTTGATGAAAAATCAAGTTTTGTAAATTTTTGATCTGACCTCTGGAACAGGAAGGGGAGAAGCTGGCGAGAAGGTCTGTGCAAGTCGCGGCGGAAAAAGACGTTGGGAAGGCGGCGCGTGGAGCTCACGCGCCGGAAACTGGCCGCGCGTGTGACGGCGCGTGCGGCGGTTGACGGCGATGGGTCCAGCGGCGGTCGACTCGTCGGATCCTTCTGAGTCGAATGGTCACCTCACTTTCTTGATCGGAGGTCAGTAGACTAGGTTTCTGTGTTGGACAGATTCAAGGAGGTGTTTAGGTGTTTGACGGTGATGGAAGTGTTTGGATGGTTATTTCAGATTTGAATTAGGGTAGGAACGAACCCGCTCTGATACCAAATTGAAAAGAAGTTTCTGTATATTGATTTTGAATAATTTACATGAGTGAGTATTTATACAAGAAAGAATCGCTAAGAATGACAAAGCGATGACTAAGCGATGACTAATCAATCCTAATCACAATCAATTCTAATCAATCATAATCAATCCTAATTAATAGGAAATAAAAACGGAAACATGTTTGGATTCTGATTTTCTACAAAGCCATTAACAGAAAATCCGATTAATGTGAAGGGTACACCAAGCTTAACACCCTAAACCATAAATTTCAAGCTACCATGCAAAACAAAGACTAGTAGATAAAAGTCGCAATCAGAGAACCACTGGAACAAAACATAATTGTATACTAATTTTTGCATCTTAATCAGCCAGCAATTTATTTATTTATTTATTTTGAAAAAGAAGAAGTAGAAACTTCACTTATTCTGTAGTCTACAATGCAAAGTAAGCATGCCAACCTTTATCAGTGGGACAAGAGGAAGTTGAATGGAAGTTGGATAACAACCAGGATTAGCAACTAGGCGTGCATTCTTTATTTCCTCCCTTAAAACCTCTGTCAATCCATATATAGCTTCTTTCTGGATACAGAAACTAGATTAATTCAGCATGAAAATAAAATTATAAAACAAGAAAGATGAGATTTAAGGAAATTTCATTTGGTTTTTCTTTTTCTTTGTTACATTAAAGAATACTACAAAAAAATTCAACAATGAGATTCATGATTCTCAGATATGAACAGAAATCGAAGTTAACAAGTCAAATTCATCAAGAGTAATGACATCTTACTTCATCAGATGTATATATTAGAAGTTAGAACTTAGAAGATGTTCAACAGTTTGCTAAGCAAGGTTCAATGAAATGAAAGACAACTTACAAGCCTATGAGTTGACAATGTGCTATACTGATAAAGAAAACAAAAAGTTGACCTAGATAAATCAGATCCTTTAGTTATTGAACAGGACAAGTCCCACCTGCAAATCTGGTGCTCTGTGTGGCGGACCATACCACTCTTCATACTCAGAAATATCTCTTAGACGAAAATCCTACAAAATCCCTCATTTACAATTCTGATATGAAGCAAAACTTCATTCATATTCTATAAGAAATATATATATTAGAAAAGAAGAGAGAACAGTTATGTAAAACATACTGCTGAAAGATCAACAATCTTCAAGTGCTTTGGAAGGCCTTTAATTATTTCCTGAAAAAATAACAAAACTAAGCAACAATGTTTAGCATCCAAATTACACAAACTCTCTCTCTTCTTTTCTTGTGAGAATGATATACTTTATCGGGTGCTCTATTGGTCAATTCAGGGAACTACAAAACTCAAGAGACATAAGAATGAACCTGAGTGGTTCCATGTGGCAAACAACAGAATACAGCATCCACATTAGAAAAATTTGCATCTTTTATTGCAATCAAATCTGGCAACTCCTGCAAGCACGGGTTAAGTCAAAATCTGTAATTTATGTAACAATGCACCCACAGACATATATCATAACCACACCATGAGGACTGCACAAGAAAATGATGATTGGAATTATCACCAACCTGATGATCATTATAGGAAAGGTATGCAAATATCACTTAGAATAAATAAAACAGATAGCATACCAAGCACTTGATAAATATAACTAGAATCAAACAAAAAGATCTTTATAAATACATGCCACCATATATAAAAACAGCCATACTTGTGTACCCAAATGAGGGAATACAGACGTGAGTGGCTGCCCAGCTTTCCTATCAGCTGTCAGCAGTGCAACCCCAAATTGTGGATGATTTGCCAAAAGCCGGATAACCTAACCAAAAAAGCATCACAATCTCACAACCAAGTAACACCAGACCTAAAATGAAAGTAAAACCATAAACAATGGGGTGACAGTGATAACAGCTTTGCTTGGTTGAGTATTTGGAACTAAAGCCACTTAACAGTTTACAATTGAGTTGTATAACATAGCACCACCAAAAAAAAATTATAACTCATTCTCACTCTGAGGCATAACTTTGGTATAAAATCATTTTTACTTCGTCCTCTAGTTTCCATCTTCCCAATTTTCCAAACTTTCCACCTACTAATCCAAGCAAACCTTAAGGTATCATTTGGTAGAGGTGTAAGAATAGGGAAAGAACATCAATATATAGATTCTATTTTATGTTTCGTGCATTTTAAAAGTAAAACAGAACCGGACATGAGATTAAAAAGTAATACATTTTGGTTCCACTATAATAGAGCATATGAGTTACTCTGAATTGCTGTAGCTACCTTTCTGCAAATAGCTTGTTGTATATGCGATAGGTATTGTTATATTGTTAGAGTTCGTTTCTGTTAGTGGTTAGATTGCTGAGCTGGCTACTGCTATTTCAGTTTCAACATTTGCTGAGTAAGTGTTAGAAGTCCCACATTGATTATATAGACAATTAGTTGGGATTTGTAAGGCATTGGGCACTCCCACTCTTTGAGCTAGCTTTTGGGGTGGTGATCCCATGGGTTCCTATCATTTGGTGCTTTCATTGAGAGTCGGACCACGGAAAGGGCTACCTGATAGGTGAGTGAAGCCACCCAAAGGAGGAAAGGGCTACCACAGGGTCAGAGTGAAAGTCGACACGTGGACGTCGGCCTTAAAGGGGGTGACAATGTTAGGAGTCCTACATTGATTATATAGACCATTGTATCAGTTTTCTCAGTAAGTCAATAACACAGTTTTCATTCAGAGATTCTCTCTCTCTCTCTCTCTCTCTCTCTCTCGTGCAGAATAAAACAGAGTTGTTCCATTCTTTTATATCCTCTTGCCAATGGGTACCTAAGTGTGTGTGTGTGTGTGTGTGCTATGTAGCTTACCTCAGAACCAGTGTAGCCACTAGCTCCAAGAACACCAACACGAACAGTCTTTTGTGAAGTTGAGTTTCCACACTTGATCGAACTCTTAATAAATGGCTTCCCATACTGTTGCTTTCTCAAGTCCTAAAAACCAAAAATTTAGGAGAATCAAACACATTCAGGCAATTAATCAAACACCTTTTGTGGCAAACAGGAGAACATAAAATAAAAAAAACATAAAGTAAGAAAAGGTACCTTGTTCCAACAGTGGGCTCTGTCAAAACAAATAGAAGTTAATGAAGTGGTGCTCATTTTGTCCAGACAGCTAAGAAGTTTGGGATCAGAGAATCAACTTTCAACAAATTGTGAAAATTTGAAGCATTGTACAGAATCGCATAAAGAGGAAGGAAAAGAGGGCCATCTTCTTTTTCTTTTTCTTTTTTCTTTTTTATTTATTTATTCATTTTTATAGGCAAAAAGTTCCTGAAACTTGCAATGTAAAAACTTCTTTTTTACAACCCTAGTCCTCGCCTCGAGAGTGGACTCTAGGGGCGAACGGACAACGTAACAGGACCCTGTTTTGCAATTGATACTGATAAACTTAAACTAATAAAGATTTTTTGTTTTTATTTTTAGATTATATTTATCTCATTTTATATATGAGATAATTAAATTTTCTATACACATAAAAGATAGATGAGTCCTATGAAGCACCGATACTTCAAAAACCCTGACGTGTCGTATCCGACACTTCCCGACACTCCGACACTTTCCGACACTCTAATACGCGTTGTAGAGACTTAAAAAAAGTTTCAAAGATTGCGTTGTATTACGTTTTTAGTTCAAACTATTAGATTCGATGGATTACGATTAACATTTTATTGAGTTTAATATAAATATTTGAGATATCTTACGTTTCTTTACAAAATTGATGGATATTATAGGTTTAACTTCATTTTTTGTTAAATTATTGAGTATTAAATATAATATACATTACATAAATTAAAAATAATATTTAATATTAAAAAGTGTCCTAACGTGTCAAAATCTAACATTTTTTAGAATTAACGTGTCAGAGTGTCGTGTCGTATCGTGTCTCGTGTCCCGTGTCAGTATCGGTGCTACATAAGATGAGTCTCACATCTTTTTTTTTGCTCTCTACTTATGGATCTCACTTATAATCTTATTTTTACAATATAAAATAACTATTTTCCTATAATATAAAAAAATTTATTTCCCTACATTTTTATATTTTAAATCAGTTTATGGATTATCTAACTAATTTGATTATATACGAGGATGATTCTCGCAAGATAATTTTCTCTAAAACTCCAGAGATTTAACTAAGGGAAACAAACTCTTTTGTAGTTGGTAGTTGAATTAATGGTGAATTAATTTTCTATCTCTATGTACTTCACTCATTTCTTCATTTTTTTTTTTTTTTGGTAAAGACTCATTTCTTCATTTTAAATAACAACTCACTTTGTGTGTTTTCAATTTAGTAATTTAGAGTGGTGTGTACAGTAATAACTTTTAAGTTATACTTTTTGATAGGTCGGGCAAAATTTAACAAAAACTAAAATAGGAATATGTATCCATAATCCGTAATATAAAATATTAAAGGTTTCATTTTTTTCGTCTTAAATATAGATAATTTATCTGTATTAAACTCAAAATAACATCGTTTTGAGACACAAATCAAGGTGTTTTTATAATTATAATTTATTTCAAGGTTATAACAGTCTTTATCATTATATTTTTTTAATTTTTCAACTAAATCAACGTTGCTTTAGGAGTGAATGTAGATAGTATTCATTGTAGATACATGATATATTTACAACCAAAAAAGTTTACCACATTTACAACCAATCTAATCACCGTTGATTTCCGTCAATCTAACAGTTGTCATTTATTAGAATTAATAATTAATTAATTAATGCGACCCAATAATTTTTAATAAATGATAATCGTTAGATTGACGGAAATCAATGGTGATTAGGTTAGTTGTAAAGGTTGTAAACTTTTTTGGTGATAAATATATCCTTCCTATATTAAAATACTTTATAAAAAATAAAAGATTAACTATATATATATTTTTTTACCTTTTTAAGTATAAAATATAATGTTATTGATAAATTTCTTTTAAGAAAACTTTAAAAATAATTTTATTATAAATACTATTAAAAGAGGGCATTAAAATATCAAAACATACTTTATCTCCATAAAAAAAATCTTAAAATTAATTTCTTTTTTTATGTTTTAAATTTTTTATTAAAAATAAAAATTATTTTTTTCTAGAAATTTTCACTGTTTATAATTTTCTGAAGTAAAATAAAATAAAAAAATGTTTTGATTTATGTCATTTTTTACTCCATCTTTTGTACGATCACATTTTTTGCAATTCTTTTGATATATAAAGCATGAAAAACTTTTTATGACAAAACAAATAACAGGCAACGGTGAACTTTGCTTCTTCTTCTTCTTTTTCATTCATAATGTTTTTAGCATACATTATACATATTACGTCATATATGTTACTTGCCCAAGATTAAATATTTAAAATTAATTTCAAAGATTCTATTACTATTACAATTTGTATATTTCTGAAATGGAACGAATTTGAGTTAATGATACATGCATTTAATATGGTTACTTTCATTGTAAATTCAATGTTTATTATTCAATTCAAATCATTAAATTCAAAATATTTTTTGAAATAGAAAAATTTAATTAAAAACCATATATTATTTAATGATTTGTGCCTAATAGGATTTGAACCTATCCATTAGACAATGGATCTTTCACTGTTCTTTTCACTAAATTAGTAAAAAAAATGAAAGAAAAATTATACAGATTAATACAGTTCTATAATATATATAGTTATATTAAATAAATAATCAAAATATAATATAATTGAATAGAAATAACTAAAACAACAATAAGAAATTCAAAGGAATAATCAAATAATTTATTAAATTAAAAAATGAACTAATTTTCTAATAAAAATATATTTATTAAAGAATAGTTGAATAGTTCGTATATGATTACCAAAAAAAAAGAATAGTTCGTATATTATGAGGAATGTAGTGGGCATCTATATATATAAAGGAAACTCATTTGTTGAAAAGTGTGATGATATGTCACTCCCTCCTTAAATATGAGATTTGTGTTCATGTAAAAACCCGAACCGTTAATTAAGGAAATTAATTAATTAAATGAGAGAATTAGAAAATAATTCCATAATTGATCCTAATAATTATTATGAGGCTTTAGTAATTATAGTAAGTGAGTAAGAACGCCGAAAGTCACTTTTCGGGCAAAAAGTGCAGATACCGGTTCTGCTATCCGGTATAAATGCGTATCAGTGAAGAATCCCAGAAAATTATAATAAGTGCATGAATATTCCTTGAATATTATGTAGACTTGTAAAACCAGTTTCAGGTCAAAATAATGAGAACTGGTGTCAGAACTGATACTGGCTATGGAAAAGCGTGTACCGGAAAGATGCTCCGAAAAATATAATAAAAATATGTTAATTCTTAAAAAATGAGTAGGACCAGATTCCAAAGTTTAGGATCCAGATGCTAAGCGTAGCAATTAGCGCTAATACTGTGCGATTAATTGTTAAGTGGCTATAAATACTCATTTTAGGCACAAAACCCTAGGTGCCACTAATTCCTACGTGCCTCTTTATGAGTTTTTGTGTCTCCAAGCTGGTCACCTTCTTCCTTGACTTGATTGCATGAAAAACCTCCCAAGTCACCTCTTTTTCATAGCTTCTTCTCCTTTCTATCTTGTAAACACTTGGAAGAGTGATTTGAGAGAGTTGGGCCAGCCATTTTTCTGAGTTTGAGGACTGCCTTGGTGGGTTCTAGTTGTTGTCTTGGTAGTGGTGTTGTGTGAGCCTTTGATGATGACTCTTTAAGCTTCAAGGAGCCATCTTTGGGTGCAAAGAAGCAACCTTGTGGTGCCATTTTCGTGTGCTTGGTGAAGTCTGGCTTTGGGAGCTTTGAGTGAGCTCCAAGAGCAGCCCTTGCTTCTATTTTGAAGCCTTGGGTATATACCTCAACTTGATCATGAGTTTTAATGAGTAAAAGTGGAGTCTTGCCATGTTTAATGAGATAAACAAGTAACTAACGTGTTAGATAACCTAAATGGGCTTAAAGATGCATGCTTTAACGCTTAGAGTTGTTAAAAATGGAACCTTGGAAGTGATACTTCGCGAAATGCAGAAACTGCATTCTGTCGCGAAATATCTGGATATTTAGTTGGGAATATCCGGATATTGATATCCAGATATGGATATCCGGATAAGGGGTTCTGGATATCCGGATATTGATATCCGGATATGGCCAGTGAGATATCCGGATATTGATATCCGGATAATCCCCCGACATATATCCGGATATTCTGGGATTTCGAGGAACAATAAGGTACTGTTCATACAGAATTGATCTATGGGTTTGTGGACCCTAGATTGAGGAAGGTGGACTTCTGTAATAATTAAACTAAGTCAGAATCAAGTGATTAAGGGCTTATGACTTTGAGAGAAGTCTAAAGACTAAAACGTAAAGAAAAGGCGTTGTCTTTTATTGCATGATTATAGAGTATGGATATTGATGTTATAATTGGTCCATATCAGATTGTGATACTGCTGTGTGTGGACTTTGAGCTGTGTGGACTCTTGGCATTGGATTGTTAGCTTGCAAGGTAAGCTTTCGTGTCCTCGGTTTAGCCATTGTCTGTTGCACCATACTCCATGGGGGGATGGTTGTACGCATGATGTGTTTTCATGTATTGTTTTGTTGAAATGCTATTGAACTGTTAAGTGCAAATGCTATATGATATGTATGTGGTGTTCCGTCTAAACAGGAAGCCATGGGGTATTCCTGTGGGCGGGTACAGCATGGGCTGGTACAACATGGGCTGACATTTATGTGGATAATAGACGTATTTATGCATTTCTTTAATCAGTAGAATTGTTATAACACACATGACATGAATATCTGTTGCATTGCACTGATTTTGGAACTGATATTGAATTACTGTTTTTAGAACTTATATTGCACTTGTAAGTGAGCTTGGGGTGGAAGATCCTTGAGAACCCTTTGTCTTACTGAGATTTCTTGTTTAGAGATCTCACCCCACGTTTTGGGAATGCTTATTTCAGGTTCAGGTAGTATGGGGACTGATGCCTCTGGCGGCAGGAGGCCAGAGCTTAGTTGATGATTATTGCTATTATATTTATGCTGGCATGACTGGATTGGATGCTGTTTATGTTTTCTGTCATTTATGATTATTGAGTTGAGACTTATGTTGGGCCTTGTTGCCTTATTTGGGTGAACATGGGAGTTTTTCATGCCACTATATTGTTAGTACTTTTAGCTTGAGTTGTATAAACTGCTAGTTGGTCCGGTCTACGTGTTGTAGTTCCGTGACTAGAGACATATATCTGTTATTTTAATTAATGAAGTATTTCAGTTAGCTACCTTTTGCAATTTACATACAGGCATGGTTTTATTTAATTAATTAA